CTGATTTCCATTCTTTTGCATTTGCTGAGGAGTCATTTACTTCCAATTATGTGGTCAATTTTGGAGTAAGTGCAATGTGATGCTGAGAAGAACGTGTATTCTGTGAATTTGGGGTGGAGTACCCTGTAAATGTCTATTAGGTCTGCTTGGTCCAACTCTGCATTCAAGTCTTGGATATCCTTGTTGACTCTGTCTCGTTGATCCATCCAGTATTGTCAGTGGAGTGTTAAAGTCTCCCACTATTATTGTGAAGGAGTCTAATCTCTTTGTAGATCTTTTTTTTGTTTTGTTTTGATTACATTTTAGGTTTTGGGGTACATGTGAAGAACATGCAAGATTGTTGCATAGGTACACACATGGAAGTGTGATTTGCTGCCTTCCTCCCCATTACCTATATCTGGCATTTCTCCTCATGCTCTCTCTCCCCAACTCCCCACCCTCTGCTGTCCCTCCCCTATTTCCCCCCAACAGACCCCAGTGTGTAGTGCTCCCCTCCCTGTGTCCATGTGTTCTCATTGTTCAACACCTGCCTATGAGTGAGAAAATGCAGCGTTTGATTTTCTGCTCTTGTGTCAGTTTGCTGAGAATGATGGTTTCCAGGTTCATCCATGTCCGTACAAAGGACACAAACTCATCCTTTTTGATGGCTGCATAATATTCCATGGTGTATATGTGCCACATTTTCCCTGTCCAGTCTATCATCGATTGGCATTTGGGTTGGTTCCAGGTCTTTGCTATTGTAAACAGTGCTGCAATGAACATTCGTGTGCATATGTCCTTATAGTAGAACGATTTATAATCCTTTGGATATATACCCAGTAATGGGATTGCTGGGTCAAATGGAATTTCTATGTCTAGGTCCTTGAGGAATTGCCACACTGTCTTCCACAATGGTTGAACTAATTTACACTCCCATCAACAGTGTAAAAGGGTTGGATTTCTCCACATCCTCTCCAGCATCTGTTGTCTCCAGATTTTTTAATGATCACCATTCTAACTGGCGTGAGATGGTATCTCAATGTAGTTTTGATTTGCATTTCTCTAATGACCAGTGATGATGAGCATTTTTTCATATGTTTGTTGGCCTCATGTATGTCTTCTTTTCTAAAGTACCTGTTCATATCCTTTGCCCACTTTTGAATGGGCTTGTTTTTTTCTTGTAAATCTGTCTTAGTTCTTTGTAAATTCTGGATATCAGCCCTTTGTTAGATGGGTAAACTGCAAAAAATTTTCCCATTCTGTTGGTTGCCGATTCACTTTAATGACTGTTTCTTTTGCCGTGTAGAAGCTGTGGAGTTTGATTAGGTCCCATTTGTCTATTTTGGCTTTTGTTGCCAATGCGTTTGCTGTTTTGGTCATGAATTCCTTGCCTATGCTGATGCCCTGAATGGATTTGCCTAGGTTTTCTTCTAGAGTTTTTATGGTGTTAGGTTTTAAGTCTTTAATCCATCGGAGTTAATTTTAGTGTAAGGTGTCAGGAAGGGGTCCAGTTTCTGCTTTCTGCACTTGGCTAGCCAGTTTTCCCAACACCATTTATTAAACAGGGAATCCTGTCCCCATTGCTTGTTTTTGTCAGGCTTGTCAAAGATCAGATGGTTGCAGATATGCTGTCTTGCCTCCAAGGCCTCTATTCTGTTCCATTGGTCTATATTTCTGTTTTGGTACCAGTACCATGCTGTTTTGATTACTGTAGCCTTGTAGTATAGTTTAAAGTCCGGTAGTGTGATGCCTCCCGCTTTGTTCTTTTTGCTTAGAATTGACTTGGCTATGTGGGCTCTCTCTTGGTTCCAAATGAAGATTAAGGTGTTTTTTTCCAGTTCTGTGAAGAAGGTCATTGGTAGCTTGATGGGGATAGCATTGAATCTGTAAATTACTTTGGGTAGTATGGCCATTTTCACAATATTGATTCTTCCTAACCATGAGCATGGAATGTTTCTCCATCTGTTTGTGTCCTCTCTTATTTCCTTGAGCAGTGGTTTGTAGTTCTCCTTGAAGAGGTCCTTTACGTTCTTTGTTAGTTGTGTTCCTAGGTATTTTATTCTCTTTGTAACAATTGTGAATGGCAGTTCATTCTTGATTTGGCTCTCTGTTTGTCTGTTATTGGTGTATAGGAATGCTTGTGATTTTTGCACATTGATTTTGTATCCTGAGACTTTGCTGAAGCTGCTTATCAGTTTCAGGAGATTTTGAGCTGAGACGATGGGGTCTTCTAGATATACCATCATGTCATCTGAAAATAGAGACAATTTGACTTCCTCCTTTCCTGTTTGAATACCCTTTATTTTCTTTTTCTTGCCTGATTGCTCTGGCTAGAACTTCCAGTATTATATTGAATAGGAGTGGTGAGAGAGGGCATCCTTGTCTAGTGCCAGATTTCAAAGGGAATGCTTCCAGTTTTTGCCCATTCAGTATGATATTGGCTGTCGGTTTGTCATAAATAGCTTTTACTATTTTGAGATACATTCCGTCAACATCTAGTTTATTGAGGGTTTTTAACATAAAGGGATGTTGAATTTTGTCAAAGGCCTTCTCTGCATCAATTGAGATAATCATGTGTTTTTTTTTCTTTGGTTATGTTTATGTGGTGAATTACGTTTATAGACTTGTGTATGTTGAACCAGCCTTGCATACCCAGGATGAAGCCTACTTGATCATGGTGGATAAGCTTTTTGATGTACTGTTGCAATCGGCTTGCCAGTATTTTATTGAAGATTTTTGCATCTATGTTCATCATGGATGTTGGCCTGAAGTTTTCTTTTCTTGTTGAGTCTCTGCCGGGTTTTGGAATCAGGATGATGTTTGTCTCATAAAATGATTTGGGAAGGGTTCCCTCTTTTTGTATTGTTTGGAATAGTTTCAGAAGGAATGGTACCAGCTCCTCTTTGTATGCCTGGTAGAATTCGGCTGTGACCCCGTCTGGACCTGGGCTTTTTTTGGGTGGTAAGCTCTTAATTGCTGCCTCAAATTCAGACCTTGTTATGGGTCTGTTCAGGGTTTCGGCTTCTTCCTGGTTTAGGCTTCGGAGGAAGCAAGTGTCCAGGAATTTATCCATTTCTTCCAGGTTTACTAGTTCATGTGCATAGAGTTGTTTGTAGTAATCTCTGATGATGGCTTGAATTTCTGTGGAATCTGTGATCATATCCCCTTTATCATTTTACATTGCATCAATTTGCTTATTCTCTCTTCTCTTTTTTATTAATCTGGCTAGTGGTCTATTTTGTTGATCTTTTCAAAAAACCAGCTCCTGGATTTATTGATTTTTTGAAGAGTTTTTTGTGTCTCTAGCTCCTTCAGTTCTGCTCTGATATTAGTTATTTCTTGTCTTCTGCTAGGTTTTGAGTTTTTTTTAATCTTGCTCTAGCTTTTTCCATTTTCACGATAGGGTGTCAATTTTAGATCTCTCCTTGCTTCTCATGTGGGCACTTATTGCTCTATATTTTCCTCTAGAGACTGCTTTAAATGTGTCCCAGAGATTCTGATATGTTGTGCCTTCATTCTCGTTGGTTTCGAAGAACATCTTTATTTCTGCCTTCATTTCATTGTTTATCCAGTCAATATTCAAGAGCGAGTTGTTCAGTTTCCATGAAGCTGTGCGTTTCTGAGTTAGTTTTCGAATTCTGAGTTCTGACTTGACTGCACTGTGGTCTGAGAGACTGTTTGTTATGATTTCCATTCTTTTGCATTTGCTGAGGAGTGATTTACTTCCAATTATGTGGTCAATTTTAGAGTAGGTGTGATGTGGTGCTGAGAAGAATGTATATTCTGTGGATTTGGGGTGGAGAGTTCTGTAAACGTCTGTTAGCTTTGCTTGGTTCAGATCTGAGTTCAAGTCCTGGATATCCTTGTTAATTTTCTGTCTGGTTGATCTGTCTAATATTGACAATGGGGTGTTAAAGTCTCCCACTATTATTGTGTGGGAATCTAAGCCTCTTTGTAAGTCATTAAGAACTTGCCTTATGTATCTGGGTGCTCCTGTATTGGGTGAGTATATATTTAGGATCGTTAGCTCTTCTTGTTGCATTGATCCTTTTACCATTATGTAATGTCCTCCTTAGTCTCTTTTGATCTTTGTTGCTTTAAAGTCTGTTTTATCAGAGATGAGAATTGCAACTCCTGCTATTTTTTGCTCTCCATTTGCTTGGTAAATCTTCCTCCATCCCTTTATTTTGAGCCTTTGTGTATCCTTGCATGTGAGATGGGTTTCCTGGATACAGCACACTGATGGGTTTTGGCTTTTTATCCAATTTGCCAGTGTGTGTCTTTTGATTGGGGCATTTAGTCCATTTACATTCGTGGTTAATATTGTTATGTGTGAATTTGATACTGCCATTTTGGTGCTAGCTGTCCGTTTTGCCCATGAGTTGATGCGGATTCTTCATTGTGTTGATGCTCTTTACCATTTGGTATGTTTTTGGAGTGGCTGGTACTGGCTGTTCCTTTCTATGTGTAGAGCCTCTTTCAGGAGCTCTTGTAAAGCAGGTCTGGTGGTGACAAAATCTCTGAGTACTTGCTTGTTCGCAAAGGATTTTATTTTTCCTTCACTTGTGAAGCTTAGTTTGGCTGGATATGAAATTCTAGGTTGAAATTTCTTTAAGGATGTTGAATATTGGCCCCCACTCTCTTCTGGCTTGTAGGGTTTCTGCTGAGAGATCTGCTGTAAGTCTGATGGGCTTCCCTTTGTGGGTAACCCGACCTTTCTCTCTGGCTGCCCTTAGTATTTTCTCCTTCATTTCAACCCTGCTGAATCTGACGATTATGTGCCTTGGGGTTGCTCTTCTTGACGAATATCTTTGTGGTGTTCTCTGTATTTCCTGGACTTGAATATTGGCCTGCCTTGCTAGGTTGGGGAAGTTTTCCTGGATAATATCCTGAAGAGTATTTTCCAGCTTGGATTCATTCATTCATTCTCTTTGTTGCATTCAGGTACACCTATCAAACATAGATTAGGTCTTTTCACATAGTCCTACATTTCTTGAAGACTTTGTTCATTCCTTTTTACCCTTTTTTCTCTAATCTTGCCTTCTTGTTTTATTGCATTGAGTTGAGTTGATCTTCGACCTCTGATATCCCTTCTGCTTGGTCAATTCGGCTGTTGAAAATTGTGCATGCTTCGCAAAGTTCTTGTGTTTTTCAGCTCCATCAATTCACTTATATTCCTCTCTAAGTTGTCCATTCTCGTTAGCATTTCATCAAATCTTTTTTCAACGTTCTTAGTTTCTTTGCATTGGGTTAGAAGGTGTTCTTTTAGCTCACAGAATTTTCTTACTAACCACCTTCTGAAGCCTGATTCTGTCATTTCATCACACTCATTCTCCGTCTAGCCTTGTTCCCTTGCTGGTGAGGAGTTGTGATCCCTTGTAGGAGGAGAGGTGTTCTGGTTTCGGGTGTTTTCATCCTTTTTGTGCTGGTTTCTGCCCATCTTTGTGGATTTATCCACCTGTCGTCTTTGTAGTTGGTGACTTTCAGATTGGGTCTCTGAGTGTATGTTCTGTTTGTTGATGAAGTTATTTCTGTTTCTTAGTTTTCCTTCTAACAGTCTGGCCCCTCTGTTGTAGGACTGCTGAGGTCCACTCCAGGCCCTGCTTACCTGGGGATCACCTGCAGCAGCTGCAGAACAATAAGGGTTGCTGCCAGTTTCTTCTTCTGCTATCTTTGTCCCAGAAGGATACCTGCCAAATGGCAGTCTGATCTCTCCTTTATGAGGTGACTCTTTGGATATACGGGGGTCAGGGAGCTGCTTGAGGAGGCAGCCTGTCCTTTATAGGAGCTCAAGTGCTGAGCTGTGAGCTCCGTTGTTCATTCTGAGTTGCTGGGCAGGTACATTTAGGTCTGCTACAGCAGAACTCATAAACCTCCTTTTTTTCCCAGGTGCTCTGTCCCAGGGAGTTAGGGCTTTGTTTATGAGTTTCCATTGTGCTGCTGCCTTTTTTTTTTATCAGAGCTGCTTTGCCCAGCAAGGTGGCAGCCTACTCACTGTCTGCCTGCAAAGGCTTTGCTGAGCTGCTGTGGGCTCCGCCCAGCTGCCATGTGAACTTCCCTACAGTCCTGTTTATATGGGTGTAGTTAGAACTGCCTCGGCAATGGTGGCCCACCTCTGTATTGGCGGACTCTCTCTGTAATGGCAGGTTGCCTTGGCAACAGTAGGTTGCCTTGGCAATGGCAGGCTGCCTCAGTGATGGTGGACTACCTCCATAGTGGTGGAGTGTCTAGGTAATGGCGGACGCCCCTCCCCCACAGAGTTGGACCGTCCCAGGTTCAGCTGCGCTTGCTGTGAAACTCTCAATCCAGAGTTTCTGACTGCTGTTCTTTTGTGGAGGTGAGACCAGCCGAGCCTGATCACCTGGCTCCCTTCCTCAGAGCCTTTTTTTTTAGTTGAACAGTCAACTCTCTCCCAGGTGTTCTAGTCGCCTGTTGAAAAGGCACTGGAATCTGTGTGATTTCCCGTGGGGCAACTCACTGTGCTGGCTTAAACAGCAGCACTGAGATTCATGGTGCTTTTTTTTTGCCCAGGCATCTCCTGGCCTGGCTCCCTATTCAGTCCCCTTTTTAATCAGATGAATGAGAGACTTCCTGGGGCTCCATTCACCAGCTAAAAGGGCACCCGGACCAGTGTATTTTGTATGGAGAACCACTGCGCTAGGGCGTGGGCAAAGCAGCCACGCCGACCAAAACAGCCATGCTGGCTACCCGTGGGGCTCCTCTGCCTGGGAATCTCCTGGTCTGTGGGCAATAAAAATGTGGCATCCACTCACCCTCTGCGCTTTCACTGGGAGCTACAATCCTGAGCTGTTCCTAAATGGCCATCTTGGATCTATCACCCTCTTTGTGGATCTTTAAGAATTTACTTTATGTATCTGGGTACTCTTGCATTGGTTGCATAAATATTTAGGATGGTTAGCTTTCTTGTTGCATTGATACTTTTACCATTATATAATGCCCTTGTGTCTTTTGATCTTTGTTGGTTTAAAGTCTGTTTTATCAGAGACTAGGATTGCTATCCCTGATTTTTTTTTTGCTCTCCATTTACTTGGTAAATCTTCTTCCATCCCTTTATTTTGAGTCTGTGTGAGTCTTTGCTTGTGAGATGGGTCTCCTGAATACAGCACACCAATGGGTCTTGACTTTGTATCCAGTTTGCGTGTCTTTTGATTGGGGCATTTAGGCCATTTACCTTAAACATTAATATTGTTACATTTGAATTTGATCCTGCCATTTTGTTACTTTCTGGTTGTTTTGCCTGTTAATTGATGTGGCTCCTTCGTTGCATTGTTATTCTTTGGCATTTGGTGCATTTTTGCAGTGGCTGGTACTGGTTATTCCTTTCCCTGTTTAGTATTTCCTTCAGTAGCTCCTGTAAGGCAGGTCCTGTAGCGACAAAATCTCTCAGTAATTGTCCATAAAGGATTTTATTTCTCTTTCAATGATGAAGCTTAGTTTGGTTGGATATGAAATTCTGGGTCAAAAGTTCTTTTCTTTAAAGATGTTGAATATTGGTTCCCACTCCCTTCTAGTTTGTTGGGTTTCTGCCAAGAGATTTGCTGTGAGTCTGATGGTCTTTCCTTTGTGGGTGATTTGACCTTTCCCTCTGGCTGCCCTTAGGATTTTTTCCTTAATTTCAACCCTGGTAAGTCTGACACTTATGTGCCTTAGGGTTGCTCTTCTTGAGGAATATCTTTGTGGGGTCTCTATATTTCCTGGATTTGAATGTTGGCCTGCCTTGTTATGTTGGGAAAGTTCTCTTGGATAATATCTTGAAGAGTGTTTTCCAACTTGGATTCATTCTCCCTGTCACATTCAGCTATACCAATCATGAGTAGATTAGGTTTTTTCACATAATCCCATAGTTCTTGGAGGCTTTGTTCATTTCTTTTCACTCTTATTTCATTGATTTGATCTTCTATCTCTGATGTCCTTTCTTCTGCTTGTTAGATTAGGCTGCTGAAATTTGTGTATGCCTTGTGAAGTTCTTGTGCTGTGTTTTTCACCTCCATCAAGTCATTTGTGTTCTTCTCTAAGCTGGTTATTCTAGTTAGCATTTCGTCCAACCTTTTTTTCAAGGTTCTTAGTTTCTTTGCATTGGGTTAGAACATGGTCTTTTAACTCAGAGAAGTTTATTACCCACCTCCTGAAGCCTGCTTCTGTCAATTCATCAGCTTCATTCTCTTTTTTTGTTCCCTTGTTGGTGAGGAGTTGTGATTCCTGGGAGGAGAAGAGGTGTTCTGTTCTTTGGTGGTTTCATCCTTTTTGTGCTGTTTTTTTCCCCATCTTTGTGGATTTATCTCCTTTTAATCTTTGAAGTTGGTGGCAACTTTCAGGAGGAGTCTCGAGTGGACTTTTTTTCTATTGATGTTGGAACTGTATCTTTTTTGCCTGTAGAGGGCGCTGCTGGGCTCTCTCAGGTTCAGTCAGGTTGCTAGGTGGGCAGTCCTTCCCTCCAGATTGTTTGCAGATGAGATTGGCCCCACCTTCCCAATGGCCTCTCTCCCAGAGTTCAATCTTCCTGGTTGGGGTCAAGCTGGTGTATTTGCTGCTAAGCTCTCAAGCAAGGGCTTCAGTCTGAGTTCTGTGGAGGTGAGGCCTGCCAGGCCTTATGGTCTGTTTCCCTGCTTTCAACTCTGCCTCCCTCTGTGGGAGGGTCTATCCTGCAGGCATTAGTCCAAACTCCTGCCCAGGTCTCTTCGACAACTTGCTGAGCCCTGCTGTAGCCGCTGCTCAGATTTCCATTGACTACCCATGACACCCCACCGTCTGGCAGGGCCCCCATGGACCATGGGTCGCAGGAAGGATGAGGTAAGCACAGGATCTGAAATGGAGCACCGAGGGGGTTAAGTCCCCCGACCTTCCAAGCCAACTGTACGTTTCAGGTGAGGACGGGCCTCCCTGGTCTTGATTTGTGCCCCCCGGGTGGCTCTCGCCTTGTGGTTTTTTTCCCTGGGCCCAATTCCAGTGCCCTATCAGTCCCACAAAAAATAACCCGGCACCTCCTTTGGAACTGTGAAGTCCTCCAGCCCTCTGAGTCTCATTTGCTGGGAGCTGCATTCAGGCGCTGGCTTCTCTTGGCCATCTTGGCACCCCCCTGTCCTATTTTTATTTATTTATTTACAGACTTGAGATGGAGTCTCACTCTGACCCCCAGGCTGGAGTGCACTGGCGCGATCTTGGCTCATTGCAACCTCCGCTCCCTGGGTTCAAACGATTCTCCTGCCTCAGCCTCCTGAGTAACTGGGATTACAGGTGCCTGCTATTGCACCCAGCTAATTTTTATATTTTTTAGAGACAGGGTTTCGCCATCTTGCCCCAGCTGGTCTTGAACTGCTGACCTTGTGATCCACCTGCCTTGGCCTCCCAAAATGCTGGGATTACAAGTGTGAGCCACCGCTCCTAGGTGGAATTTTTTTTAAATGTGGAGGAACATAGGACTATTGTTTTAGCTCAGTGGTTTCTTAAAGGAAATCTATGGACCCATTACATCAGAACTAATTTATAAAGCTCAGATATTCCCCCCACAGGAAAGAGTCAATGTCCTTTCACTGCCACGACTGCCATACTCAGTTGTACTGCCACTTCTTTCCTGAAAAACATGCTCGTATCACACTGATCTGTTTCAACTTATGGACAATTAATTTTCTAACTAATGATTCCTATTCTTATATAACGTTACAGCCAGAATTGTATAAGTCGCCAAAGTGAGCTTGTGCACAAATTTTAAACTTTAGAGACTTATACAAACTTATTTTCTTATAAAACTTATTTTCTTGATCTTACCTTATATTTGCCTAATTTCCTCTTGTTTAACTTATAAGGTAGGTATAAATTATACATATATGTATATAAATTATTCATATACATGAATAATCAGTGCTGGTAACAAAAGGCTTTATTTCACATTAATTGGAATAGCTAAAAAATCACTTAGCCGGATTGTATTTGAGAAATACAATCTTGACATAAAACATCTTTTCCAGGCTAAGTTAAACACTGGAAATTCAATATACTCACAATAGTCAAGAAAGTAAGGGATGTGATGTCATACAACAGATGACAATGATCCAAAAAGTACTGCATTTTTAAAGTGAACAGAAAGACATAAATGATAAGTGAAACGCAGTGTCTGTACTTTGTTACCTGAGTCATAATTTGATATTCTTTCTCAAACCTGTTATGTGAATGGGGAATGGCTAATTCAGGGAGGCAGGGCTGACTGGGTGCTAAAAAGTTAGGTACACACTTGGCATTAATGAGGGCTCCTACAGAGACATTTAGAAGTATTCCAATTTTCCAAGAGTCTAGAAAAGTGAGTTATTGGTTTGACATGTAAAACTGGTTAAGCTAATTTACTAGGCCACTTACCAGTCTTGGAGCAAAATTAGAAGTGATTACACATTTACAAATGATTTCCAAGTACAAATGTGTGGTTCACTTAAGAAAGCTAAGAATAATAAAAGCTTACTGCATACACCCAGTGACCCCTAATCCCACCTAATCAACTTCCTTTCATCCTTTAAAGTATTAAGGTAGTTATGAGGCAATTCCTTTAGTTTTATACTCCCTTAAGGAGTTGTGTTTTTTTCTTTTTCATTCTGTGACTACCTCTGAGATGTGTTTTACACTGACTCCATTTTCATAGTAAGTAGGTGAACTTTTATGTCATTATTTAGGTGGGGAAGAAGGTAAAACAAATAGGGAAAAAGTCAGGTAGGCTGAATATACAGCATGCTTTTGCCAGAGACATACCAAATTTAGAAACATCTCAGTTTGGAGGTTTTTATATATTATAGTATGCTGCTAACTTTAGAAATGCATTTTAATGAGTTTACTGCTGAGCATCATTGATTACCGTGATATCTATTTCTTTAAAAAAAACAGAAGAGATTCCTTAGCATTTATTCATGATTGTTTTAATACTTAGTTTAGTTTCAGTTTTTAATATGTTAGATTTCAAATCAAAGATTTCTAAAGAGTACTAGAAAATTGTTTTCTGAACACCTTACTAAGTTCTGTTTCTATTAATCTATCTAAGCCCAACAGTTACTAGAGGCTATTAGATCTATTACAAAGGGAACAAATGATAATCTAAAATGTGGTAATTTATATATTCTGCTTCTGTGCATTATTTATCTTTACTTTTACAAATATATTACTATATTAATATAATTGTCATTGTGTCCTCTTCCCACCATATTCATCAGGAAGAAATATAAAGGAACATTCATATCATTTTAATTGGAACTTTACTAAATTGCTAAAGTTGTTTGTATGAGAGAAGATTTGAAACAGTTGGCTAGAATGAGGTTTAAAGAGTTATTTATAGTTTTATTTAGCTCTTTTATCACTCCTGACATTGTCATGAATAATTGAAAGATGTATCATGGTAAATTGAACGCACTTTTAAATTTTACTTCAGGTAACATATGCCCATTTATGCTCTAGAATGAGCTGAGTCATAAGTCCTGAAACTCATCATTTTGGGAAGCAATCAATCTTCTGGTTTTTGGCTCCACTATATACATACCAACCTTGGAAGATGCTAAGCATTAAGGGATCAATTATAGCACATCCACACCTTTGTTTATCTTTTTATAAGGCCCTATAAATAATGGAGGAATCTGAGTTTCCAGGGCAACTCACAACCTCCCGGGTTTGTTTATCCTTATGAGTTTTTCGCTAACCTGTGGTTTTGTGCCATAAGGACTTTCATGATAAGTAGAATCAGCTTAGAGATTTATTACTGGCAGGCAGAAATAGAATGGCTGGCAATAACCTAATTATAATCACTGTGCTTAGTTCCAGCAATCTTGGTTGGAACATTCAGGACAACTTGATTGACAATTAAAGGAAATCAGGTGTTATAACAAAGGTCCTGTCTAGACAAGAACTCTTATCTCCTTCCTTCTCTAATCTGTTTGACTATACCTTTATGATTTTGTAGGTTGGAGTCTGTGGCTTTTACATTACATATTCTCTCATAAGGGCTTCTGCAGTTGCTAGATTCAAAAGGAACTTTCAGCATTCTGGTAGTGGAGCTGTGCTGTCACCAGAGAGGATGTATTTTCCTCTGGGAGATGGGGTTCATCTGTGGATCTGTTTTCTTAATAGATTGGGGATACTATTAGACTTGTCTTGCAGGGTCATTTTAGAAGGGGGGTGCTGTCACCCAGGTAAAAAAGTAGAAATTGATGAGGCTGCTAGGGGCTACCTAGGGGGAAAAGCCATCCTATTCCCAGGGACAGACTGTAAACTTAGATATCTCCCCTAAACCTGTACTTCTTGTTTGTCATTTATATATGTCTTTCTTAAGCACTATAGAAAGGAAAGAGATGACCTCATTGTGGGATGCAATTTTGTTCTTGAATTAAAGAATGGTAGTGTGTCATTGCCTTATCAGTTATCAGTTTAAGATTGCTTTCAAATCTGAATAGATATAGTCTCTCTGGATCTAAACTCTTGCCCCCTGAATGATGTGTTAACCCTTCACAGTATTAATCGGGATGTTTGAAAATCATTCTTTGGTCATTGAATAAAGCCTATGAGAAACTGCCCTATTTTAGTTTGTTTTACTCCCAGTTGACTATGTATCTTGCTTAGTAGGTCTCATTACACATGTATATGTATGAGGGCTTTTTTCCCTAAACTTTTTGTATTCATAGTTTCTATGACTATCATGTTCTTAGAATATTTTAGTTAGAACCAAGCTTCTCATTCAAAGAAGTCACTTTTCTTTGATATCATCATAGCAATAATTCTTACAGGGTGCTCAAAAGTACTAGTTATCCAGATGGAATAAAACAATGCGAGATGAAAAAGGTTCATTGAAGTTGAAGCTACATGAGTGAAGCTTTTCCTTCAATTTGGCAAATCTGATTTCCTTTCTGGTCATAATTGCTATAAATACACTTGACACAATTTTCCATTATACTAAATTATGACAGATTATAATATGTATTGCATATGAACTGAAGCCATTATAGTTATTCTTGGTTGTGAATCAAAAACGTAAGTAAGGTATCCAAAACTGAAAATTTCATTTATGCAAAAAAAAGACTCAACATACTGATCAA